TTTTTTTTTTTTTTTTTTTTTTTTTTTTTTTTTTTTTTTTTTTTTTTTTTTTTTTTTTTTGCTCTGTGTGTGTGTGTGTCATTTTCTACAGTGCACAAAGTTTCTTGACAAAACACCAAACAGAAACACCTTAGAGAAGTGTAGAAAAGAAGATAAATAGAGTATCCACACTCATGCGCTACTCACACGTCCAAAAATTAATGTGCTGTGTTTTGAGTCATTTTTTGGACTCGCCGAGCATAACTGTGTATGGATTTGTTCATTTGTCATCTAAATAACCTTTAGAGGCATGCATGCTGGTGCTCAGTGAGGCTGCTCAGGTCCATTGACTACCACTATGTGATGAAGGTGAATAAAAGGCAGGGGAAATAAAGAGTTCCAGAAATATTCTGAAGAGGACCATTCCAGGACAAGTTCCTGTTTGGTGTTCCCACTGCAGTGTAGGGGCTGGGACTGTTATATAAAATAACAGATTTGATGCAAACTGTACGATAGTTATGTCATTTCAGCACGAGGCCAAAGTACAGCAACATGGCAAGCATGGAAGAGGAGAACGAAGTTGTGTCATGCTACGTTGCATTTTAACAATGTCCAATCAGCTAGCAGGTACTGTGAGTAACAACTTAGATGGCCAGTATTCATAAACATCCTGACATCCATCCATATTTTAGAACAGTGTATTGTGACCCTACTGATACTGTGCTACTGATATTAGCACAGTATCAGTGTTATTATTATACTACCCAGCACTATTTTACAATTTTTGTTGGTTCTCCCAGCAGCATGCCACTAGCTGCAAGTACAACCCACACTAATGCAACATTCTGGCCTCACACCTAGTGTAAAAAGAAAAGCACAGCAGGAACATTCTTCTTTGCCAGTCATGCCTTGACACCTCTAATATAAAATAAGACTTAGTGCTTGCTTATTAGCTAAACACACATTTGGAAAATGGTGAGTAAGAGTGTCAGTCATTCTGTGAAACTCCCATTTGACCAATTGGTAATGTTCAGTACAGCAAGTGCCATTCAACTAGTGCCTTATCTGCAGAAAAGTACTGGTGCAGAGACAAAAAAAAAAGTTCCTGCATCTGCAGCCTAGGAATTAAAATCAGCCTTGGTTCATTCAAGGGCCTATAGTTCCTGAACAAGTACCTGGCTTCCTGAAACTTTTCCTGTGGTGAAAACGTGCCTTTATGCAGTCCATTGGGCCAGACAGCCAGTGGGTACATCTGTTACACTTGCTTAGACTTTCATTATGCTGCTCCTTGTAATATTGTTCATCATGCTTCTGCTGAAGCTTTTCCTCAAACTCACTGATTAATCCATCTAGCTCTGACTAACCCAGACAGGTTCAAACCATTGTAAATCTCATGGGCTTTGAATTTTATTCCCTTCCCAGATTCAGACTGACATTCCGCCTGTAGCAGATGATTTGTGGATATGGGTTTAGAATCGTTATCAGTGATCTATTCATAGGCTTTCCTCATTTCACACACTGTAATTGTTTATTTACTTGTCATCACCAATTGAACGTCCATGCAGCCCATCAGAACAGCCTGATCAGCGTAAATTAAAAAAATGACTATAGAAACAGCTTCCAGTGCCTGATTGAATCTGTCGAGCGAGTCGATGTGATCACTCGTAATTTCAGGGTAGTTTTCACCAGACTCTGACTCTTTCTTGAGTAGAGAAAACTGCATTCATCTGTCTGTAGAGACAGCTGCATTCAGAAGCGGATATAACATGCACTTGACCTAATATAGCATGTTTCAGACTCCTGCAACCCTTCCCTTTAACCACATCGGTTAGGGCTGCACAATATGGACATACAAATGCTATTTTAAGTTGCCTTAAAGTTGTAAAAGCAACTATGAGATGTGATAAATGATATGAGATGTGATAAAATAAGACTACAATAGATATTTTTTTAAACAAATACATATAGAAATGTTTAGCATTAATGTAAATTATACTTTTCTGAATATTAGGCCTACAGACATGTCAACAAACAGGTTAAATCCCAAACTTCCTATTCACCACTTATGTGCCCTACCTAGGGTATTATAAATATATATGTGTGTATGTATGTATGTATGTATGTATGTGTGTATATATTGTATATTTATATATATATATATATATATATATATATATATATATATATATATATATATATAAATATAAATATAAATATAAATCTACACACACTTTATGTAGTGCACTCCATGATATTTATTTGGCACACAGCCTAACAGTGCTCATCCTTTTTTAGTCTGATTGCTAATTATAGCAGTTTTGACTATTCACATATATATGTTTTTTCCACTGCTGTCCTACTTTAATGATGTCATCTGTGCACACTATGCGAAAAAGGCACTTTGCTGTTTGTCGGGAAAGCAATTATAGTGGCGCAGTTATTATTTCCATTTTTAATGCACTCTGTTATTGCAGCCCTTCATAATGTGTTCATTGTGGAAACTCGCAAAGCAATAATGATAAAATTTCGATTAATCGTGCAGCCCCACACTAGTATTTGTAGCCAATGCTTCTTCAGATCCTCCCTCCACCGCCCCCAACACACACACAAGCAGACCTAATTATTCATGTCCCCTACATACAGCCACGCACTATGTTCCACATACAGTGGCACCCATATTACTTCCTAAAAAACACACACCTCTCTTGGGCACAGGGCTCTCATCATTAATCACTCTAGTAAAAACTTGCCCAGTTCTGCTCCATTTGTGTGTGTGCGTGTGTTCATGTGACTAGTGTATGCAGCAATTGTTCCCTGGTGATGTTGCTATAACCAGCTGAAGCACCTCTTCCTTGTTCTGTACTAATGTTCACACACACAAGTGCCCCCATAATTACATTCCTCCTTTCTGCTCTGTTCTCCAGTAGACTAGGGCTTAATCAACTCGATCATTCCATGTATTTTTCCTTAATGTAGAAATGCATGCTACTTCAGAAGTTGCGCACACAGTTACTTTCAGGCACACACAGCACTGCAGCTGTGACTCCCAGCTGCTCACACACAGACAGGCAGGAAGCAGCGAGTCCTCGTCCTGCCTGCAGTACTGGCTCTCAAAGACTGTGTGTGTTGTTTGGCCTTGCACAGCTGAAAGACTGCACAGATGCCTGTTTTTGTAAATCTCTCTTTTTTTTTTTTCTTTCTAACAAAGGTATCACAGGGCATCACAGTGAATTTTGTGAATCAGCTATAAAAAGACCAGTAGGAGAGTCCAGACTGAAAGGGAAATCCACATACACATCTTTGTTGGATGGTGTTAATAAGCATCTGTTAGACTGTAAAACTGGAGTGTGGCGTATGAGACTAGAGACTAGAGCAGCTGCTCATGTTATCTCTCTTGCAAGAAGTTTCTGCTATAAAAGGCCAAACTAACTTTCAATTACTTTGAGTTACTTAAGCTCTGCTTTTGAAAACTCAGTAGACAAAACTCTCAACACAGCAACTCTAGTTCTTTATCAGTGAAAGCACTGAATGTCTGATTTGTCTATGATCATTAAAAAAAAGATCTACTCTAAAGGACTGTATAATTAGCATGTGATCTTTAGTGGCATCTAAGATTTATTTTATAAGAAAATTCTAATTAGAATAGATTTCAACCTTTTTTCATTGACATGTTCATCAGTTTACTACCTTACCCACAATGCTACTCGACTGCTGTACATGCTGATAGTGGCACCAGTGGGATTTAGCCTTTGCTTCATCTCAACTTAGAGACTGATGCAGCAGTGCTTTAGTCCTTTAGTCTGTCCAGCTTTCTGACCTCCTCATCTGTACACTCTGCTCAAACAAATTGGGTTCCAAAGCTTCAACTTTCATATTAATACCACCGTCACTGCCATCATGCGGCTTCTTCTTTCGGCTGCTCCCGTTAGGGGTCGCCATAGTGGATCGTTGGTCTGCATATTTGATTTGGCGCAGTTTTTACGTTGGATGCCGTTCCTGTCGCGTGCAACCCCAGTGCCTGGGGTTGGTATCCTGGCCAGGAATCGATCCCGGGCCGTGGCGTTGAAAGCCCCGTGGCCTAACCACTAGTCCTCCACTATACACTTTGCCAAGGAATGCTTAAGGGGAAAAAAGAACACTTTGGAAGGCACCTGTCCCAATGCCACCATGCTTATCATCTTGTAGAATGCTAGCTATACATGCCGGGTCTCTGTTGTAACTCAGCACAACGGAATCATACAGCTGCATTACCTTCTGGAATTTGGAGTCTAGCATTTATTCTCTCCACCACTTTCTCATTAATATGACATTAAATGGTGAGTGAGGGGAAAAAAAAGCTCTCCCTCTTTTATCTTTTTTATGAGCTAATAGTGAAATGTGACCATTATCACTTCTGTTGAGATCTTCTACATTTCTCCTATGAAACACCATGGATATAAATGTCACATATGTCTATATAAATATATTTAATGTGTTTCAGGTTGGCCCTTTCCTTTAAGCTGGAATTATGAAAAGGTTGTGTCTGCCATTTTGTCTTTAACAGAAAGGACTGATGGAATATCTATTCACTGTCCATCCAGTCATTTATTTGCTTCTAGTCCTCCCCCGTTCTGAAGCTGAAAGTTAATCATACCTCCTTCCAGCTCCATTTCATTCTGGTCCAGGATCTAGTAATTCAGTTTGCCTTATATATTAGCACACTTACCAGAGGATTTCTCTTTTCTGTTTCTTTTCCACCTTTAGCTCACTTAGATTCAGTCTAACAGTGTAAATGGTCTCAGGTGAGCAGTTCATTGGCAACCCGGCTAGTTCATTTTTTCCACCATCTCAGGAGATGAAATGTGTATTGTGTTTGATAAAAGATGTTTTAATTGCTTGATTTCAACCCAGCAGTCTTCAGGGGCTTCCACTCTCCATCAGTGTGTGTTTTTGTGTATGTAACACAGGTCTTGTGGAGATGGGCAGAACCGATTGCCTGTAATTGCCCCGCTGGGTTCGTGTAAGACGTGGTGATTGTATTAATGGCCCTGCGCAGCTTTCTCCAATGTTCATATGCCCATCCATAACCTGATTGTTTGGGATGGTGTGTTTGTTTGATGTGTATCAGGTTGCTCTCCTGGGCTCGGCTGTACAGGTGCGTGGTGTCCACAAACACAACCTCTCCATTAAAGCGCCTTAGAGGCGGCTTTATGAGAGCCAATTAAAGCAAAGAAATAAAATAAAATAAAATAAACAGCATGCCATGCAAGGAGAGAGAGCTTTCCATAACCACAGGATTTGTCAGAACCCTTAACCCTGGGTTTTTTTTTTGCTGACCGAATGTTCTTCTAGTCCATCTTTCTTTCCCTGGGTATTCTTTATCCCTTTCCTCTTTGGCTGGCTTTAATCCTATCCGGTTTAGCATTTTCTCCTCAATCTCTCTCTCTCTCTCATATCATCTTTTTATTCTCTCTTATAATAGTAATATAATATGTATTATTAAATATAATATGTAAAAAAAAAAAAAATTTTAAAATAAATGAAAGACCGGAGAAGCTGGTCTTGTCTCGGCAAGGGCAATGTTTAAAAAAAAAAAAAAAAAAAAAAATTGGATGACTATGACTAAGGACTGGGTGTGTCACCTCAGACTCGCATCTGTGACTCAGGAAATGGAAATCTGTCAAATGACACATGACTGTTTCTTACTTCATATTCAGTGAACAGGTGCAGAAAATGACCATTTGTGTGAACAAGCACGTCACCTCAGTCAGTTGTAGCAATAAAGCTGATGCGTGCCAACCACCTTTGCTGTCCTCTATTGAGAGAGAGAGAGAGAGAGAGAGAGTGTTTGTGTGTCTGGGTTTAAATGCAGGCTGTTTTGTATGTGATGCATATTTCATGCTGTGGGCTGTGTGTCAGGGCAGAGATGGTTATTCTGGGTAAGTCTAGCATGAACCACATAAAAAAACAGCACTCTTCTGTGCCATTAAAGCAAAAGGATAAGGCTGTCATGACTGTTCCAGTTTAACATCTTCAGAGCGCCACAATCATGTTAAAGCCTTGTCCTCGTGGGATCCCGCACGGGCTAGCAGCCTGTCATTCTCAGCTGCCAAGTTGCATCACTAGCAGGATTTCAGGCTGTTCGAGTGAAAAAGAAGAATGGTTGTGTCTGCTATATGAGTTTATTACCAAGTCCCATATTTTCTAATTGACTGTTCTAAAAGTGTTTGGACGAATTGCAAACAGCATGATAATCATATGCCTTTCTGTAGAGTGTTCCATTGCTGTGTATTCAAATTGCAATCAACATATCACCCAAAAACACCCAGTTGTTACATTTGTCAAAACTGTGCAGCAGTAGCAAGCTGTAATAATTCAAAATCAAACGCAGACTATGATTTTATAGGTGTAAAATGCTGTACAAGCAAATGTTTCAGACACATTACGGATTCTTTGTTTTGTGAGCACTTTGCATCATCTAATTACGGGAATAAACGCTAGTGCTCTTTGCAGGCCTCCAGAGTGCTTTGTCAGCTCTTTATGCACTAATATAGCCCTCAGATAGAGACAGCTGTCTTGTTTAACCATGGAGAAATGGCATTATTCCCTATGCCACAGCATTGTGCGTTCGAGAGTAACTGGCTGTCACTTGGAGAATGAGCCGTTGATGATTCTGTCTCGTAGAGTGGCTGCGGGGACGTTTCCTGCGTGAGACAAGACTCCTGCAGGCAGACGTGAGGCTCGATCAAGCAGACCATGAGGGTGATGATTAGTGCAAAGACAGCAAATCGTAATCAGCATCGGTGTAAGAGACAGTTGTCTGTGTAGCTTTGAAGAAAGAGTTTATAAAGGATTTAGAATTTGTCAAGAAAAAGGAGGGAGAGTCATTCAGCATGACTGTGCTGTTGAGCTGGCCTCCCATCCAGCACATGGGAGTGTGTAATCATAGGTGTGGGTGTGGAGACAGCCGTTTGCCTGTGATCTGGAAAAAAGCAGTCAAGCCACAACATGACAGCTCACCACATCATGTTACCTGACTCAGCTCTCAGTGTGGAAAAGTACAACACAGTGAAGAGGGTATGTTACACATCTGAATAGGGCGGGTCAAAAAGACAGATATATCAATATGGTGATAAATTATTTCACAATACACTGTTATGAGATGTTTTTGCAGGTGTAATCAATGCTTTTGCAACACTAACAACATAACTCCTAGGTCCTGCTGTGAGCTGCAGTTTTAGTCATATTAACACTTTTATCATGTAAACTTTATTATTGTATTATGTTCACTTTTATAATTAGTAGTAATTCTGAATACTTGATTAAGAGTTTATTGATGAACGAATAGTAATGCTTCCTGGAAAATGACACTCTAAGGCACTTCTCTGATTACGGCCATGCCCATGTGTACAACAGGGTTGTGATTAGGCAGCGATTGCATTTCATTGTGGCGTGACTACAACACACTGATAAAAGTGAAATACGATGCAATGGGGAAGTACATTTACTTCCGACACAAAGTGAGCATTTAATTCTAAAAATGCAACACCCTGTGTTCTTATCTCAGACAGCGCAACAGCAATGCAGCGGAGGTTTTGCTTTTCTAATTTTTTTTTAACCAGTGTAATTGCTTCCTGCTCTGGCAGGAATCTTCTCCGTACCTAAGTAACAGCAAAAAAAAAAAACAGATTATCATTTTGTATGCGCTATACAAATCCTAATTTAATTCCTATTCACTATTTATATTAGTCCTGCACTGTCAGTGCTAACAGTCAGTTGAAATTACATAATACGTAAGTCGACACAGAAAACAGATGTTTTCTCATAGACATTAATTGATATTCTTCGTTGATAAGAAATTTTGGTTATTCGAACAACTGTGCACTTAATAAATTAATTTATATACTGAAAGGGCAAGTTGTACGCTTCTTGATCAAACCTCTTTGACAACTCGGGCTCCTGAGTGGTGAGAAAACAGTCACCCTATCGCCCTGAGATTGTGAGTTCGAATCCTGATGAAGCCACAGCCATTCGTGCCCAGGAGTCCAAGAGAAGCAGAATTGATCGTGCGTTCTGGGTGGGAGGGGTGGCATACTTCCCTGTCAATCACAGTCACACTAGCCAGTAATGGGCATCTGTATGTGGAAGAGGGTAGATAGCTCTTTCCCCTGAGTGTGTTTCACTGCCCTGTGACACAGCATGAGCTGCACTTTGAAAAGATACGTTTATATATATATATATATATGTGTGTGTGTGTGTGTGTGTGTGTGTGTGTGTGTGTGTGTGTGTGTGTGTGTATACATTTTATTTTTATTATTATTATATTTTTATTTTTTTACACAGACCCATAGTGCATTGGAAAATGAACAGTGCTTTGGCCTGGCCTGTATTTATCTTTTTACTTATCCAAGCAACATATGCTGATGTGTGTGTGCATGGGAGGGAATGGTGGGGGGGAGGGGACTTTTAATCTATTCCAAGAGAATGGCCCCTTTCAGTCTGTTCCAAGGTGGCACATTAATGCGTGTGCATATTTCAGAGTAATTAAGTCACTAGCTGTTCAGCTGATTTGCAAGCAACATTTACTCCCGATCCATCTCTCTTACATCTACACCTACGCACACACACACACACGTGCACCACACAGACGCATGCACTGAGTCACAGAACCATGCCAGATGGGACTTGGTAGCAGATGGGCTCCCCTTTTTCGTTCTTACAGATTGGACAATGACATCCGAAGCATCACTCCCTAACTGTTTCTTCACCTCCAACTGTTTCACATTTTTCCTTTTTTATCCTGCCAAGCTGCCAGTATGCAGACATGGCCTCTCTCTACACAAACTCTCTCTGTACCGCAAACAGCTGAGGCATAAACAGGCTTTCTCTGCCGTCCCTGTTTTTCAGGAGCAGATTTTTCAGAATAAACTTGAAAGTAGAGCTAATCTTGCAGATCGTGGCCTACCTTTGCAGATGAGAGCTCATCCTCATTGAGTGCTTTGAGGAAAATTGCTCTTTTATCATGTGCTCATTGAGTTGTTCAAAACCTTCTCTGTTCAGTGCTAATTCGTATGTGACAGAATAATTAGTTCTGCTAAATTCTGGGCTGTGTTTTGACAGC